CGAGAAATCATGGGTGCTTCATCACTGGAGGCTTTTAAGAAGAGACTGGACAGCCAGTTGTCTGAAATGGTATAGGGTTTCCTGCCTGAGCAGGGGGTTGGACTAAATGACCTCCAGAGTCCCTTCCAGCTGTACTCTGATTCTGATTCAATAGCTGCCATATTTTGTGGCTTATGCTGGCTAGGGAATTCTGGGAGTCGAAGTCTACACATTTTAAAGTGGCCAAGGTTGGGAAACTCTGCATTAAGGCAATCCAAGCAATAAACTAGTTAACCAATAGACTAGTTAAATAAAGTAACTAAAAAAAAAAACAGAACAAAAAACAACGGCTCAGACCCAGATCTTCCGTTTATATATTTTTTAATTTTATTATTTTATTTTAATACAACCATCCTCCTCCTGCTTGCCCCACAAAACAATTCTGTGAGGTGGGTTGGGCTGAGAGAGAGAGGGGGGGATTGGCCCAAAGTCACCCACTCGGTTTTCTTGCCTAAGGCGGGACTAGAATTTAAGGCAGGACTAGAACTCCCAGTCGCCTGGTGACTGTCCCAGAGTCACTTACCTGGCTTTCATGCCTAAGGCGGGACTAGAACTCACAGTCTCCTGGTGATTGGCCCAAAATCACCCAGTTGGCTTTCATGCCTAAAGCGGGACTAGAACTCACCGTCTCCTGGTGATTGGCCCAAAATCACCCAGTTGGCTTTCATGCCTAAGGCGGGACTAAAACTCACAGTCTCCTGGTGATTGGCTCAAAGTCACCCACCCAGCCAGCTTTCATGTCTAAGGTGGGATTAGAACTCACCGTCTCCTGGTAATTGGCAAGAATTTCACCCAGCCAGCTCTGTACCTTCCAAAAGCTGGAGTTTAGTATACTTTACACATATTTTACATATATTTAAATATGTACTCTTCCTCTTTCCTTGCAATAAAATAGATCTTTTTTTAAAAAAATCTGTATCCTTTTTTCTCTATATATATTAAGAATAGAATAGAATAGAATAGAATAGAATAGAATAGAATAGAATAGAATAGAATAGAATAGAATAACTTCACAACTTCTGTAGGCAGGTTGTTCCACTGGTTAATTGTTCTCACTGTCAGGAAGTTTCTCCTTAGTTCTAGGTTGCTTCTCTCCTTGATTAGTTTCCATCCCTTGTTTCTTGTCCTCCCTTCAGGTGCTTTGGAGAATAGCTTGACTTCCTCTTCTGTGGGTCAACCTCTCAAACACTGGAAGACTGCTATCACCAGCATGATTATTCCTGCACAGGAAGCTTTTCATTCCAGAGGCAAAGAGATGTTTTAATTTTAATTTTTGTTATCCCCAGGCTGCCATTATGTAATGCATTTAACCTAGTTCCTTAGACCAGAGGTCCCCAACCTTTTGGGCACCAGTTCCATGGAGAAAGGTTTTTCCGCGGACTGGAGGGAGCGTGGGTTTTGTGCTGCCTGCCTCCTGCAGATGGGGCTTTGCTTGTTTGTGTGGATCGGTTGCTGGTGTTGAAAGAAAAAAAATCTTCATCAGGGTCCAGTCCAAGCCGGAAATAAACAAAATGGAGACTGCTTTAGAAAGAAGGTGGCAGTTTATTGAAGAGCAGAGCCAGACAGAAAGATGGCTCTGGGAAATAAAACTGACCACATGGAGCAGGGAGTGGGGGGTTTTTATACCTTCTTGGGCTTTTGTTTGGAGTTGTTCCTGGGGCATGAACTTTGACCTGAGTCTGAGTGTGCCTTTCTGGTATTCTGATGGTGGTGGGTTAATCCTATTATGTCCCAAGGGTCATGTCCTGCTTCCCTGGGGCTGTGGCTGATGACTCTTAGATTTTTGGTGTTGATTCTAGGGATCTTTCTTCCTAATCCCAGTTTCCTGACTCCAATCTTTCTGACAAGATTATCACATCTGCATTTCTGCAGACCTGGTTTCTGTTTGGGGCAGAGACACTTGGTGGGTGGGTGTTGGTTTCTGCCTTTAAAATCCTTTGGGAAAATATAATGTTCTGCCTTTTTAATATTTCCCAAAATATTTCTTTCTCTGGATTCTTCCCACACTGGCATGCCACGGTACTGGTCCACAGACTGGGGGTTGGGGACCTCTGCCTTAGACCATCAACCTCTCTTGCCTCATTCAACACATCACAAACTAATCTGAGTTCACACAGCAGAAAACCCCATCCCTGTTTAGAAAATGAGGTCAAATCGTTCACACACACTCACATGCACACCCAGCCAAACCAAGTTAGGAGATCAACTCATTGTGGAGGGTTATGGGTGTTTGTGTGTGGAGGTTTTCAAGTAAAGGTTGGACAACCATTAGTCCAGGATGGTTTAAGGACTAGGAATTCTGGGAATTGAAGTCCACGAGTCATAAAAGAGCCAAGGTTGCCTACCCCTGTTCTAGGCCAAGATTAAGGTGACCAACTTTTTTACAACAAAAAGGAGGACATGAATAAATTGGAGAAAAAATATCGTAAATAAAAGAAACATTGTATTTATTGCAACAATAATACAGAATACACTATAATATGGTAAATGCATAATAAAAAACATTTGTAACAATAACATTTTATATTGTAATTATGCTTACATGCCTATTAATTATTTAAATGAGTACTTTTCCACTGAATGAATATTTTTTGTCAATGTATCATTTTCTAACAATATATTGGAAATATTTGAACAAGAAATATCCTTCATATTGAATTTTATGGCAAGTGCTGCAGCTAGAGTATCAACATTCAATCTCGATTTCTCACTTATCCAAAAATCTACATGGCTGGACTGCGTGGGGTTGGGCGGCGGAGGCAGGTATTGTGAGCCAGGCGTTCCAGGACGGCCACGTAGGTGCGCAGGGTGAGGTGGTGGCAGCACAGGTCAGCACTGTATAGACCACCAGCTGGCTCGGCCCATGGAAGGTCAACTGCCTGCTGCACCCCTGCCCACAGCTGCCCCGCCAGCACCGCTGTCCTGCCGTGGAGAGCTGGCCCTGAGACTCGCAAAGCACCAGCTGAGCCAGCTCCGGCCCTGCAGCTGCCCCCCAACACCACTGCCCACCCTGCGCATCCCCGTAGAGCTGGCCCCACGGCTCACAAAGGCAAAACACCAGCCACGCCGGCTCCAGCCCTGCAGCCAACCCCCCCCAGCCACCCCCCAGCACCACCGCTCACCCTGTGCATCCCCGTAGAGCTGGCCCCATGGCTCGCAATGGCAAAGCACCAGCTGCACTGGCTCTGGCCCTGCAGCTGCCCCCCTAGCCACCCCGCCCAGCACCACCGCCCACCCTGCGTATCACCGTAGACCCGGCCCCGTGGCTCGCAATTGCAGAGCACCAGCCGCCCCGGCTCAGGCCCTGCAGCCACCCCCCCAGCTGCCCCCCAGCACCACCGCCTACCCTGCGCATCCCCGTGTAGAACCGAACAGGGAAGATCAAGAGAAACTTACCGCTCCAGTCTCCTCCAGCTAGGGGGAGTAGCACAGCTCAGGCAAAAGTTGAAAAAAAACATCAAAAAAAGGTCTCGCAACGCCTTCTGAGCGTTTTATGAGGACAAAAAAGCCCTGCAGATAAGTCTTCAAATATAGAAAAAGAGGACATTTAGGAGGACATTTTCGAGGGAGGACAGAACTCCCAAAAGGAGGACGGTATATGGAAAAGGAGGACATTTAGGAGGACACTTTTTGAAGGAGGACAGAACTCAAAAAAGGAGGACTGTCCTTCCAAAAGGAGGACGGTTGGTCACCTTACCAAGATAGAGAAACACTGGCCTAGACCAGGGGTAGGCAACATTGGCTCTTTTATGACTCGTGGACTTCAACTCCCAGAATTCCTGAGCCAGCCATGCTGAGGGGAAAGGGAGAGGTTTCCAAGCTGAGCCATTCTGGCTCAGGAATTCTGGGAGTTGAAGTCCACCAGTCATAAAAGAGCCAAGTTTGAAGACCCCTGGGGTAGGGGTTGGACTAGAAGACCTCTAAGGTCCCTTCCAGCCTTAGGATTCTATGAACCCTCGATTAAATAAAAGGAGGCTTTCCCACAAAAAGCTAGAACTGAAAAAAAAGTCACATAGGTTAAACAAACCAAGTTTGGAATCCTTGACACTGGCTGTGGTTTAGCCAAAAATGACTGGGGAAAAAAATAGGTATGTTGTCAATGCTTTGAGATAGATAGATAGATAGATAGATAGATAGATAGATAGATAGATAGATAGATAGATAGATAGATAGATAGATATAGATAGGTAGATAAATGAGAGAGAGAGAGAGATGATAGATAGATAGATAGATAGATAGATAGATAGATAGATAGATAGATAGATAGATATAGATGATAGATGATAGATAGATAGATAGATAGATAGATAGATAGATAGATAGATAGATAGATAAATGAGAGAGAGAGAGAGAGAGAGATGATAGATAGATATAGATAGATGATAGATAGATAGATAGAGATAGATAGATAGATAGATAGATAGATAGATAGATAGATAATAGGTAGATGATAGATAGATAGATAGATAGAGAGATGATAGATAGATAGAGAGATGATAGATAGATAGATAGATAGAGATAGATAGATAGATAGATAGATAGATAGATAGATAGATAGATAGATAGATAGATAGATAGATAGATAGATAGATATAATAAAAATAAATAAGATATGACCACCAGGAGAATTTAAGTATAAAAAATACTATACTAAAACCAGCAAGCTTTCGTTGGGAACTCCCAACATCGTCAGGACTATAGATAGATATAGATATAGATATTAAATGGATTTGGGTCAAACTGGGAAATCCTTTGTTCGTTTTTCTGTTTCTTTTTCTAGTCTGTATCTCCTTCCCTCTCTCTCTCTCTCCTTTCTCCCCCCCCCCTTTTCTCTTTCTCTGCTGGACTACATCTCCCAGCGTGCCTCTGCAGCTGCGCAGACAAGAAGAGCTTGTGAGTTCAACAGCTCCCAACAGCTTTGTTAATTCCAGAGAAGGCAGGGAGGGAGGGAGGGGGGGGGCAGGCATTAGTGGACAGGCCGTTTCTTCCTTCCCCAAAAGGCCCGCTCCGGAGCTGCTGGAGGCCCCACCACCCCGGAAGCTTGCTCACTTTGCAGGGCAGCCCTGAAGATGGAAGACCAAAAGGTAAGGATGCTTAAGGCAAGGATGCAGCAGCAGCTGGACCAGAAGGGTATCGGATGGCAGGGCTAATGGATCCAAGCTGTCCCCATGGGAAGGAAAGGGGGGTGTCTGTCTCTCTGTCTGTGTCTGGGGCCGGTCTCTGAGCTTTCTGCAACCTGGAGGGCTCTGCAGCTGATCCTCCACCCATCTCCAGCCCGGTCCCTCCTCCATCTCTGCTTTGTCATCCCGGACTTGTGTTTTTAGTTACAACCGGCCGTCCATCCAGCAAAGGAGAGGAGGGTGGGGTGGGGGGGGGGAGAAGAATGGCTGAGGAGCATGGGTCTCCCTGCTCTCTTTGCAGAGGATGTCTCCTTTGAGAGGGAGGGGGCTTTAATTTGGAGGGTTAGGGTTAGGGATATAGACTTAGGACCATCTGCATCCTGGCGAAAACCGAGTGAAGGTTCTAGTCCTCGTGGTTTGGAAAAAAAGCTGGGATTGAAAACGGAATAACCCAGATAGAAAGGGTTATGTTTTTTGCCTTGGGTGGATCGGATTTCTGAGGCTCTGCAAGGAAAGGTGGGGCTGGGTCTTAAGTCCCCCCACCCACAACCACATCTCAGAAGGTTAACCTAGTTCTCTGTGATCAGACTGCAGCCTCGGTGACCTCTCCCTGCAAATTTAAAAGAGAAAGGAAACTCCTTGCATGTAGAAATCCTGTTGATCAGGGCAGCCCCTTGAGCTGCTATGTTTCTAAATGCAGGCATGGATATTTAAAAATCTTGCAGGGTTTCTGCTCTTAAACCTCATCCGGTCGTCTGAAACAGTCCAGATAAAGACCCAAGATGGTCCGGAAAGATTCATAAACTCTTTAGTGAAATACCTGGTTTGTATTCCTACTTTCTATTCCTTGCTGGAAACCCTGGGAAAAGCTTTTGCTAGCCCTGCCTCAGCACGGTATTTTTCTTTTCCGTCTGTGCTTTGATCAAAACCACGAGGACTAGAATCTTGATGTTATTTTTGGGGGGGAGGATGCAGAAGGTTGTAACATAGTCTAGGAAGACGGCTTTCTCAAATTCTGCACAATTGGTTGGCCTGGACAATCTTCTGTCAAGTCAGCCCACAATTCCCATCATGGCCGCTGCGTGGGAGTGATGGGAATTATAGTCCTTTGGAAATGGGAGGTACCAATTAAAAAGTATTTTCATGAGAGAAAACATTACAGAAGGATAAGAAAAAAAACCTTCCCTTCCTTTCCTTTCCATTCCTTTCCTTTTCTTTCCTTTCTCTTCCTTTCCTTTTCTTTCTTCCTTTCCTTTCCTTTCCTTTTCTTTCCTTTCTCTTCCTTTCCTTTCCTTTCCTTTTCTTTCCTTTATCTTCCTTCCTTCCCTTCCCTTCTCTTCCTTTCCTTTCCTTTCCCTTCTCTTCCTTTCTTTCCTTTCTTTCTTTCCTTTCCTTTTCTTTCCTTTCTCTTCCTTCCTTTCCTTTCCTTCCCTTCCCTTCCTTTCCCTTCTCTTCCTTTCTTTCCTTTCCTTTCTTTCACTTTCCTTTCTTTCCTCTTCCTCTTCTTTTCCTTTCCTCTCCTTTCCCAAAACTTATCTGACTCTGAATTTCGGTAAAACGTAGAGCATGGAAGAGGAAACCCAAATTTAGTTGACTTAATGACCTGGGATAATCATTATCTTTCAGCCTGGCCTACCTCGCAGGGACGTTGTGTTAAGATTAAAAGGCCGAAAACCTCATGCGAGGCTGCTAAGCTCTCAGAGGAAATAGGGCCGTTTGATAATCATAAAAATTAGAGATAAACCCTTGAAATGAGAAAGAGTGCCCTGATCCAGTGGTGGGATTCAAGTAGGTGAACAACGGGTTCTCTGTGTGATGCTGCTTCCGGAAGGCCATTCTGGGCCTGGGCAAGAAAAAATTAGCTACCGGTTCTGCTGAAGTGGTACAAACCGGCTGAATCCCACCACTGGTTCCTAAAGTACAAAGTGGCCAGACATTTTTTTTTTTAAAGGAGAGCCAGTATTGCAGCTGAAAATGATGGGCAGAGGAGAAGAAAAAGCACTCTGCACTGTCAGAGACATCCTCCCCCAGACTTAACAATTCTTGATAAGAACAACAAAAAAGTCTTGATAGCGGGTGTGGTAGTACCTGGAGACAGCAGAAGAGAAAGAAAATCACAAAATACAAAGATCTGCAAAGAAAAATAGAACACCTCCCCATCAAAAAAAGCCAACACAGTGCGAGGCTGCATGAACAGAGGGAGAGAATCAAGATTATGTGAAGGGTTAATACCACTTTACAAGGCCTTGGTAAGGCCACACTTGGAATGCTGCATCCAGTTTTGGTCACCACGATGTAAAAAAGATGTTGAAACTCTAGAAAGAGGGCAGAGAAGAGCAACAAAGATGATTAGGGGACTGGAGGCTAAAGCATATAAGGAACGGTTGCTGGAATTGGGGATGTCTAGTTTAACGAAGAGAAGGACGAGGGGGGACAGGATAGCAGTCTTCCAATATCTCAGGGGCTGCCCCAAAGAAGAGGGAGTCAAGCTATTTTCCAAGGCTCCTGAAGATAGGACAAGCAACGGGTGGAAACTCATCAAGGTGAGAAGCAACCTAGAACTAAGGAGAAACTTCCTGACAGTGAGGACAATTAACCAGTGGAACAACCTGCCTCCAGAAGCGGTGAATGCTCCAACCCTGGAAGTTTTTAAGAAGAGACTGGACAGCCATTTGTTCAAAATGGTGTAGGGTTTCCTGCCTGAGCAGGGGGTTGGACTAGAAGACCTCCAAGGTCCCTTCCAGCTCTATTCTGACTGACTAACTGACTGACTGATTGAAGGACCAGAGGTGACATGATAGCCATGTTCCAGTGTTTCAGGGGCTGCCCCAAAGAAGAGGGAGTCAAGCTATTCTCCAAAGCGCCTGAACATAGGACAAGAAGCAACAGATGGAAACTGATCAAGGAGAGAAGCAACCAAGAACTAAGGAGAAACTTCCTGACAGTGAGAACAATTAACCAGTGGAACTACCTGCCTCCAGAAGCAAGAAAGTATCCAAGACAATCTTGCCAAAATTATCTAGTTTAGCCTGTCTGTGACAAAGGCGACATAATACTGAATGGACATGTGTAGAAATTGAACAAATAAATGAACATAATGAGTTCCTGAGATTTAAAAAAAAAAGCTATATTTTTTCCAAATCCTCTGTGTCATCATTGGTATTTCTCTGTCAAAAGGAAGTAAATGGAGGATAGATTCTAGAATATGCTCAAAAAACTCAAAATGGTTGTGTGATTAGAGTCGCCATTTTGGGGATTATGGCATATAAAAACGGATAGCGCCTTCAATATTGTCACTGCCATTTTGACTCTTTTGACCTCTCCCTGTAGACCTCCCCCTGCATAAATATAAAGTATTTAATTATATTTTAAATAAAAATGTGTGTGTGTGTGTGTGTGTGTGTAAAATCTATTCTGTAATTCTATTTCCATTCTATTCTATTCTATTCTTTATTCTATTCATTCTGAATTCTATCCTATCCTATCCAATGCTATCCTATCCTATCTATTGTTATTCCATTCTATATTCTATTCTATTCCATTCTATTCTATTATATTCTACTCTACTCTACTCCCATTCTATTCATTCTGAATTCTACCCTATCCTATCCAATGCTATCCTATCCTGTCCTCTATTGTTATTCCATTCCATATTCTACTCTACTCTACTCTACTCTTTTCTATTCCATCCCATTCTATTTTCTATTATTTTCTATTTTATTCTATTTTCTATTTTATTCTATATTCTATTCTATTATATTCTATTCTACTCATTCTGAATTCTACCCTATCCTATCCAATGCTATCCTATCCTGTCCTCTATTGTTATTCCATTCCATATTCTATTCTACTCTACTCTACTCTACTCTATTCTATTCTTTCCTATTCCATCCCATCCCATTCTATTTTCTATTCTATTCTATTCTGTTCTGTTCTGTTCTGTTCTATTCTATTCTATTCTATTCTATTCTATTCTTTATTCTATTCATTCTGAATTCTACCCTATCCTATCCAATGCTATCCTATCCTGTCCTCTATTGTTATTCCATTCCATATTCTACTTTACTCTACTCTACTCTACTCTACTCTACTCTACACTCTACTCTACTCTACTCTACTCTACTCTACTCTACTCTACTCTACTCTACTCTACTCTACTCTACTCTACTCTATTCTATTCTATTCTATTCTATTCTATTCTATTCTATTCTATTCTATTCTATGTAAACTTCCAAGAGGCACTCAGGTGAGATGGGCAAGGCTTTCCTAGGATCGTACAGTAGATAATTCAAACAGGTAAATGCAGCCCAGACATAAAACATTGGATTGCACTGGGTCCACCACAGTGGTGAACATGGGCCAAACATGGAAAAGCAAAGACATCAGCCTGCCAATCCAATGTAGGTTAGTCCGCTCTATGTTGTGCTCTCCGTGACTTCCTCTGGTTGTGAACATTGGACCTTAAATAAGCAAGACAGGAAGAAATTCAACTCGTTTGAGCCTCAGACATGTCGCTGGAAGGCAACAATGACACAACTGTGTTTCACTTGTTTGGGCCAAGTCACATGGGAGCATTCACCAGAGAAAGCAATTATGTCGTGAAGAGTTAGCAATGAAAGGAAACTGGGCCATCAAAGAACCGCCATCAAAGCTGACACCATCCAGAGCACAGAACATAGAATAAAAGAGTTGAAAGGGACCTTGGAGGTCATCTAGTCCAACCCCTGCTCAGGCAGGAAACCCTCTACCATTTTAGACAAATGGCTGTCCAGTCTCTTCTTAAAAACTTCCAGTGTTGGAGCATTCACCACTTCTGGAGGCGGGTTGTTCCACTGGTTAATTGTTCTCACTGTCAGGAAGTTTCTCCTTAGTTCTAGGTTGCTTCCCTCCTTGGTGAGTTTCCATCCGTTGCTTCTTGTCCTGCCGTCTGGTGCTTTGGAAAATTGTTTGTCCCCCCCCCCCTCCTCTTTGATCAACTCAAAGAAGTAATGCAAAATGGGAAGATGTGGAGAGAATGGTCTTATTAAATTACCAAGAGTCAGACGCAGCTGAACGGATAACATCGTCATGAAATCTGATAAATAGAAATAATAAATAAATAAAGGCCTTTGAAGTGAAAAAGTGCGATTCAATCTATGTATGGTAGGTTAAAATGGTTTAACTTGGTGATTCTCAACCTTGACAACTTGAAGATATGTGGACTTCAACTCCCAGAATTCCACCCCTCTTAAAGCATGCTGGATGGGGAATTCTGGGAGTTAAAGTCCACCCATCCTAACACATGCCGGCAGGGGGATTCTGGGAATTGAAGTCCACCCATCTTAAAGCATGCTGGCTGGGGGATTCTGGGAGCGGAAGTCCACCCCTCTTAAAGCATGCTGGATAAGGTTTTGAAGTTGAAGTCCACATATCTTCAATATATTGGCATGGTTGAGAAACACTGGTTTAAGTTATGCATAAATATATCCGTTTGAGCCTGGGAAAGGATAGGAAGCAAGAATCCAAGATTAACGCCAGATTATTATTTTTTTCCCCCTTTTTTGGGTGGGGACAGGATGACCTGCGGAAGATCATCACGACCCTCGCGGTGAAGAATGAGGAGATCCAAAATTTCATCTATTTGCTCAAGCAGATGCTTCAAAATGTGGAGGTAACTGGGTTGGAGTTAACCTTAAAATGGTTTATCCAGGTGTTCTGGAGGCAACAGGGCTCACCTGGGGTTTTATTGGGCCTGAAAGCTCCACAGCTGGTGAAATCAGTGTTCTTGATTTATTTATCTCTTTATTACATTCTTATCAACCTTTTATTATTTGATAAGGAACTCAAGCTGGCAAACATACATAATAATCCCTCCTTCCTCTTCCTATTTTCCCCACAGCGACAACCCTGTGAGGTGGGTTGGGCTGAGAAAGAAAGAGTGCCCTAAATTCCTTAGCCCGCTTTCATGCCTAAGGTGGGACTAGAACTCACCGTCTTCTGGTGATTGGCCCAACGTCACTCAGCCAGGTTTCATGCCTAAAACAGGGTTAGAACAGTCTCCTGGTAATTGGCTGAAATTAATCCAACCGGCTCTCACGCCAAAGACAGGACTAGAACTCACCGTCTCCTGGTGATTGGCCCAAAGTCACCCAGCTGGCTTTCATGCCTAATGCAGGACTAGAACTTTCCATCTCCTGTGATTGGCCCACCCAGTAAGCTTTTAACCCTAAAGAGGGACTAGAACTCTCCATCTCCTGATGATTGGCTCAAATTCACCCAGCCAGCTTTCATACTTAAAGCAGAACTAGAACCCGCCATCTCCTGGTGAATGGCCCAAATTCACCCAGCAAGCTTTTATGCCTAATGCAGGACTAGAACTCTCCACTTCCTGGTGTTTGTACCACCCAGCTGGCTTTCACACCTAAGGAGGGACTAGAACTCACCATCTCCTGGTGATTGGCCCAAATTAACCCAGCCAGCTTTCATGCCTAATGAAGGTCTAGAACTCTCCATCTCCTGGTGATTGGCTCACCCAGTAAGCTTTCATCCCTAAGGCGGGACTAAAACTTTCCATCTCCTGATTGATTGGCCCAAATTCACATATCTAAGTAGGGACTAGAACTCACCATCTCCTGGTGTTTGTCCCACCCAGCAAGCTTTCATGCCTAATGCAGGACTAGAACTCGCCATCTCCTGGTTAAATGGCCCAAATTTACCAAGCAAGCTTTTATGCCTAATGCAAGACTAGAACTCGCCATTTCCTGGTGTTTGTACCACCCAGCAAGCTTTCACGCCTAAGGAGGGATTAGAACTCTCCATCTCCTGGTGATTGGCCCAAATTCACCCAGCCAGCTTTCATGACTAATGAAGGACTAGAACTCTCCATCTCCTGGTGATTGGCTCACTCAGTAAGCTTTCATCCCTAAGGCGGGACTAAAACTCTTCATCTCCTGATTGATTGGCCCGAATTCACCCAGCTGCCTTACATACCTAAGTAGGGACTAGAATTCACCATCTCCTGGTGATTGGTCCACCCGACAAGCTTTCACGTCTAAGGCGAGACTAGAACTCCCCGTCTCCTAGTGATTGGCTCAAAGTCACCCAGCCGAATTTCATCCCTAAGACGGGATTGAACCCCCCCCCCTCCGTCTCCTGTTTATTTTTATTTTTTGTTTATGGAAAGTAGCCATAAAAATTTACAACTGTGAATTTCTTTAGAGCAGTGGTTCTCAACCTTTTTAATGCCGCAATCCCCAACCGGTCGTAAGTTGAGAACTACTCAACCGGTCGTAAGTCGAGGACTACTCAACTGGTGCAGCACCGTTTGCAGAATGGGACTTTTGGCGGGCTCAGTAGGGCAAAGACAGCCTGGACAATTCCTATTGGCTTTTGAAAGCCAATAGAATTAGACTCTATTCAAGAGAGTCTATTCTATTGGCTTTCAAAAGCCAATAGAATAAAAGGGAGTAGCACAGCTAAGGAAAAGAGGGGAAAAAATGGCGGACTGCGTTGTTTGGCGACCCCCGTGAAATGATCGTTCGACCCCAAATGGGGTCCCGACCCACAGGTTGAGAACCACTGCTTTAGAGGGTCCTTGCCCATTTTGAGTTGTCCCAAGATTTGGGGCATTATTCCACCTGGAAATTTAGCCAAGAGGTGGGATTCAGGAATTTGGGGGACACCAGGTTGAGTTTCTGCTAAGCACCCACAAACACACACTGCTCGACACCCCGAATCACAAAGGAGGGAGCATCCCAACTCTCCAGTCACCTCAGGGCAGAGATGACCTCCAGCTTCGTCTTCTCTCTTCTCCCTGCCAGAGTAATTCGAACCGGGTCCAAGACGATCTGGACGCTGAGTTCCAATCTCTGTACGTCCTGCTGGACGAGCTGAAGGAAGGGATGTTGATGAAGATCAAACAAGATCGAGCCAGCCGGACTTACGAACTGCAGGTAAAACCCGCTCAGCTAAAGAGCCGCTGTGCATTATTGGTTTCAGAGACGGATGGCTGAGAAAGACAACCCATAGATTCAATACTGGCTGGGGGATTCTGGGAGTTGAAGTCCACCCTTCTTTAAAGCCGCCAAGATCGAAAAACACCGTTCGGACAGCTTTGGCCCCCCTCCCCCCGAAGAATTGTTACTTAAGGTAGACTGCGCTGGAAGATGGAGGCTCCATTTAAGGCTGCCTCAAAGTGTGAGCGTCCTGGGTCTTCGTGTTGCTGCCCTCTAGTGGTCACTTGTCTATTTGCAGCTTAAGAGGTAGCCCTGGTGTTACGGGTACAGGTAGTCAAATTTATCTGAGTTTTGCAGCCCTCTCCATCTTGTGCCAGTGAGTTCCTCAGGACAAAAACGCAGAGTGCCAGATGTTGACTTGAACCCAAATCCCTCAGCCAATCTCTCCGCCTTTGACCTCCCCCCCCCCTCTGAATGGCAATCTCGCTTAAATCAAAATCCAGATTTTTTTTCTTTTTTAAATTACATTAATTTGAATTCAGAGCAAGAAAATAAAAAGAGGGCCAGCCAAACCTCTTTATACCCGCTCTTTTCAATTTTTATTTTTTTACTTTTTTGCTAAAATCTCCCTTTTGGGGGCGGGGGGGGGGATGCTCTCTCTCTGCTTGTCTTTCGCACCCAGAACCAGCTGGCGGCGTGCACAAAAGCCTTGGAAAGCTCAGAGGAACTTTTAGAAACCGCCAACCAGACCCTCCAAGGGGCTGAAAATCAGGATTTCCACCAGGTAAAAGAATAATTCCTAGCTGTGTGTGTCTGTGCATGTGTGTGTGTGTGTGTGTGCGCACGTGCGCGCATAATTACACAATGAATTGGGCAAAGGATGCAAAGCCATTGGCTAAATATGTGTCAAGAGATTCTGTGATAGCTTGATTGTGCCTCCTTCTAAGCTGGCACGCTGATGGACGGCTATAACTCCTTGGATCCCCCACAAGTCGGGGGCTGTGGATGATGGGTACTCTTATCCAACCGTTTTTGGAGAACATTGATTCAAACGTCACGATGACCCCGGATTTGGACGGATCCCAGCCCATCACGTGGGTTGGGTGACATCTGGGGGAGGAAGGCGTCATACGTTTATTGATCTTAGTTTGCCCTTGCCTACCTCACAGGGTCCTGAGGAAGATAAAAAGGGCCCAGATTTGGATAGATCCCAGCCTATCGCATTCGCTGGACGACATTTGGGTGGGTTTACAGGTAGTTCCTCGACTTACGACCACAACTGAGCCCAAAATTTCCGTTGCTCAGTGAGACAGCCGTTAAGTGAGTTTTGCCCCGTTTTACGACCTGTCTTGACGCCGTCGTGAAGTGAATCCTGCAGTTAAGTTAGCAACACAGAAGTGAATCTGGCTTCTCCAACGGACGTTGCTTCTCAGACGGTTGTAAAAGGGGATCACATGACCCCGGGACGCTGCAAACGGTCATAAATACGAACCCGTTGCTAAGTGGCCCAGTTTTGATCACTTGGCCATGGAGGAAGCTGCAACGGTTGTGAAGTGTGAAAAAGGATCGTAAGTCACTTTTTTCAGTGCCGTTGTAACGCTGAATCATCACATAACGAATCGTCGTAAGTCGAGGACTACCTATATTATATTAATCCGCCTTCACCTGCTTCTTGGGAGGGTTCTTGGGAGGATAAAAAGGTCCAGACGTGGATGGATCCGAGCCTGTCACATGACTGGATGATATTTGGGTGGTTTATTATATTTTTAATTCACCTTGGCCTACCTCGCAGGGTTCTTGGGAGGGTAAAAAGCATAGGGGAAGGCAGAGGGCGGTGGGAGTTATTTTCTGCATGCGTGCAATGGATGGCAGCTTTGCATGCTTCCCGGGGGCTTCCTGTCTACAACGCTCTTGAAACAAACGTGAGCAATGCTTCTTTAATTCATCTTTGTGATACCTTCCTTGCTTTTTCTTCTTCTTTTTTTCTCTCTCTCTTCCTCCGCCCTTCTTTCTCCCTCCTCCTTGCGCTGCTTCGAAGGCTGCTAAACAGATCAAGGACAGGTAGGCCACTCCTGGAACACACCTGGATGCCAAAAGTCAGCTTTTGGCCTTGTCATTTTCTCTGGGGTGGGAAAAGGGGGCATAAAATGTCTCTTAAGATGGCTCTAAGATGTCTGGACTTCAACTCCCAGAATTCTCCACTCTGCTGGCTGGGGGAATTCTCGGAGTTGAAGTCCAAATATTTTAGACGAGCAGAGTTTGAGAAATGCTGGTTTCTATAGTCCAAACTGAAGCTGGCTCTTAGCGAGATTCATTCGCCCACCGACTTGTAGGCAAGGGTGAAGTGCACTCTGCCCATGCCCCAGCGTCCCCTCGACTTCCCATTGCCTCGGCCAGCCAGCCTGTCTTCCTACATGTCCTTGGGGATGGTTGCTTGATCAGGGGAATCAAAGTCACTCTTCGCATGCTCAGAAGTTCTTGGGTTTTGCCCTGCAGCTAGACCCTGCTGGGTTTAACACACACCTCCTGCCAGCCCTCTGCACATGCTTTGTAGACATCTGAACTTTGGCGGGGTTGGATCCGGGCGCTGGGTTCTTTGCATGTCGCCTTCTCCGCCACGTTCCTCCGCCATCTCTCCGATCCCTCTTGCTAGGCGGTGAAAGACATGGGGGGGGGGGAATCTGACGGTGCGCCTTTCTCACTCGCCTCTCCTTCCCCTCCATAGCGTGACGATGGCCCCAGCCTTCCGCCTCTCGCTCAAGGCTAAAGTAACCGACAACATGAGTCACTTGATGGTGGATTTTGCCCAGGAACGCCAAATACTACAGACTCTCAAATTCCTGCCAGGTGATTTGGAAAATGTTGTTTTCCTTCTGCAGGCTAGGCTAGATTTTTTTTTTTCAGCTGAAGACTACCAAGTCCATGGTTCACAGCCAGGGTGCTCTGAGCACTGGCACTCTCCAGGCGTAGTTTGGTTAGATTTTTTTAAAAATCCCGCCTTGAATTCTTTATCAGTAACTCACAGCGGTGAATGGATGTAATGTTCCCTCCTGTTTTCCCTGTAACGACAATCCTGTGAGGTAGGTTGGGCGCTGAGAGAGAGAGAGAGAGAGAGAGAGAGAGAGAGAGAGAGAGAGAGAGAGAGAGAGAAAGGGACTGGCCCAATCACAAAGCTGGCTTTCATTCCTAGGGTGGGACTAGAACTCACCAATCTCCTGGTGAGTGGCCCAAAATCACCCAGTTGGCTTTCATGCCTAAGGCGGGACTAGAACTCACCAATCTCCTGGTGATTGGCACAAAATCACCCAGCCGCCTTTCATGCTTAAGACAGGACTAGAACTCACCAATCTCCTAATGATTGGCCCAAAATCACCCAGTTGATTTTCAGGCCTAAGGCGGGACTAGAACTCACCATCTCCTGGTGATTGGCCCAAAATCACCCAGTTGGCTTTCATGCCTAGGGCGGGACTAGAACTCACCATCTCCTGGTGATTGGCGCAAAATCACCCAGTTGGCTTTAATGCCTAGGGTGGGACTAGAACTCACCATCTCCTAGTGATTGGCCCAAAATCACCCAGTTGGCTTTCAGGCCTAAGGCGGGACTAGAACTCACCAATCTCCTGGTGATTGGCACAAAATCACCCAGCCGCCTTTCATGCTTAAGACAGGACTAGAACTCACCAATCTCCTGGTGATTGGCCCAAAATCACCCAGTTGGCTTTCAGGCCTAAGGTGGGACTAGAACTCACCAATCTCCTGGTGATTGGCACAAAATCACCCAGTTGGCTTTCAGGCCTAAGGTGGGACTAGAACTCACTAATCTCCTGGTGATTGGCACAAAGCCACCCAACCAGCTTTCATGCTTAAGATGGGACTAGAACTCATCATATCCTGGTGATTGGTCCAGAGTCACAGAGCCGGTTTTGAGACCTAAAGGAGGATTTCAACTCACTAGCTCCTTGTTACTAACCTGGCGCCTTAAGCACTACATCAAACTGCTTTACAGGTAGTCCTCAACTGACAACCACAATTGGAACCAGAAAATTCATTTTTAAGCAGTACAGTCATTAAGTGGGGCATCGTGTAACTGAATATGATTGGCAATGATATTGGAGCTGTCATTAGAAGGGAGACCAGACCATAGTTGATGTGCAGGAATCACCGTTCCTTACCCAGGAAAGTCAAAATAGTAACTGGGGTGAAAAGCTAAAACCATTGGGTTTTTTTGCTTTTTTTTGGGATGGTTGAACTTCAGCTCCCAAAATCCCCTAACTGCTATCTGTGGACTTCAACTCCCAGAATTCCTTAGCCAGCATGCGACTGGATAGCTGGCTGGGGAATTCTGGGAGTTAAAGTCCATATATCTTAAAGGAGCCACGTTTGAAAAACTGCTTTAAAGGTATCCTGGTACTAATCAACCTCTTCAAAAACTAAGGGAAATTAAAATTGAATTAATTAAAACGGAATTCCCAAAAGAGCCAGAAATGCCATTTTTCTGTTAGGATCTGCAATCATTTTTAAATTAATTGGCACCTATTTATTGAAGCTGTGGGGATAGTGAGTTATTTTCAAAAACCCTCATTGCCTCCATCCGGGCCTCCCATCTTGAGTGACCGACGCAGAACTTGAAGAGGCAATGGAATCTCCTAGGAAAAGGGGCTAGTCCCTGGTGAGGCTGAAACGAGAATCCCGATAGTGAACCCTTTCTTTATCTCTCTGATTTGAAACCTAGTTCCCAGCGCGCCCGAGATAGACGTCGCCGAATCCTTGGTGGCCGACAACTGCGTAACCCTTGTTTGGAAAATGCCGGAAGAAGATAACAAGATTGACCATTATGTGCTGGAATATCGCAAAACCAACTTTGAAGGGCCGCCTCGGGTCAAGGAAGACCATCCCTGGATGGTTATTGAAGGGATCAAACAAACCGAGTATACGCTGTCTGGTAAGGCAAGCTGGTCAGGACAACAGATCTGGTTCAAATCTTCCTTCCTGGGCGGAGGGTGTCAAAGAGGCTACCACTTATGGGGGTGGGGGACTACCTTGCCCATCATCTAGACCAGTGGTTCTCAACCTTTTTAATGCCACGACCCCCAACCGGCCGTAAGTCGAGGACTACCCAACCGGGAGTGCCGCGCATGCGTGGTGCCGCCCCCTGCGCCGGCCGAGGCGTAGCTGGCAAGGGGCAGCGACGGCGCAGGGCGACCACCGGCTGGGCCCCCAGCTGGCCCAGCCCAAGGGAGGTAAGGCACCCGCTGGGCCCCACGCGCGCCAGCAACCCTCCCTGCGCCCGCCGGCCTCCCACCTCCCACCCCTGGCCCTCTTTTACTTACATTTTTAGTAGTTGCTCAGCAGGGAGGGGTGGAAACTTCCAGACAGCTGGCCTTCGCTGCAGACAACTTGCAGCACTGTTTGCAGAATGGGACTTTTGGCGGGCTCAGCAGGGCAGTGACAGCCTGGACAATTCCTATTGGCTTTTGAAAGCCAATAGAATTAGACTCTATTCAAGAGAGTCTATTCTATTGGCTCTCAAAAGCCAATAGAATAAAAGGGAGGAGCACAGCTAAGGAAAAGGGGGAAAAATGGCGGACTGTGTTGTTTGGCGACCTCCGTGAAATGGTCGTTCGACTCCAAATGGGGTCCCGACCCACAGGTTGAGAACCACTGATCTAGACAGATGGAATTCATACTCGGTCTGAGGATGCTAAAGAGGTCTGGAACAAGCCATGATGATGTCAGGTTTGTTGGGATGACAATTTGCCCAAGTCATGATGTCATGTCCATTACAATGACATATTGCACAAACCACAATGATATCAATCAATTTGAATAGAGCTGGAAGGGACCTTGGAGGTCTTCTAGTCCAGCCCCGTGCTGAAGCAGGAGACCCTGGCCTAAACCTTTCCAGACAAGTGGCTGTTCAGTCTCTTCTTAAAAACCTCCAGTGATGGAGCACCCACAACTTCTGGTGGCAAGCTGTCCCAATGGTTAATTGTCCCAACTGTTAGGAAGTTTCCCTTTAATTCCAGATTGCTTCTCTCCTTGATCAGTTTCCAGCCATTGTTTCTCATCCTTCCCTCTGGTGCTTTGGAGAATAACATGACCCCCTCTTCTTTGTGGCAGCCCCTCGAATACTGAAACACTGCTATCATGTCTCCCCTATTTCTTCTTTTCTTTAAATTAGCCAAACCCAAGTCCTGCAGCCGTTCTTCGTATGTTTTAGTCTCCAGGCCTTTGATCATCTTAGCTGCTCTTTGAATTTTTTTCAAAATCTCAACATCTTTTTTGTGATGTGGTGACCAAAATTGGCTGCATTATTCTAGGCGTGGTCTCACTAGGGTTTTATAAAGTGGTACTAATACTTCGCGTGAATCTTGATTCTATGCCTCTGTTTATACAACCCAGGATTGTATTAGCTTTTTTGACAGCTGCCGCACACGGCTGGCTCACGTTTAAGGGATCGTCCACTAGCACTCTTGTGTCTGTTAGAATCTCATTTTGCACAAACCACGATGACCACATTAGGATGCCGTTTTGCACAAACCATGATGATGTCATGGTAGGATGCCGTTTTGCACAACCCACGATGATGCCGTGTCTGTTAGGATGTCACTTTGCACAAATCACAATGCTGTCATGATGGTTAGGGTATTTTGCACAAACCATGATGACGTCATGTTCGTTAGGATGTCCTTTTGCAGGTAGCAGCATCCTTTGGGTCAATTGGCAGTACAAGATGGTGGTTGGTATTCTTCGCCCAATGATATCGTGGTTTGTGACATCGGTGCCTTTTGCGTGATATCCTTCCATGGATTTTTGTAGAAGAGGGAAGAACAGGAGGAAATTTACACTGCAAGATATATATTGATTTAAAATATTTATATAGCCACCCGTCTTTTTTTTTATTAAAAATTTTTAAAATTTTACAATAAAATTCCCTTCCCCAAACCCTCCCAACCCACCCCAATACCCTCCCCCCATCTTCCCAGAGCTGAATACAGGCTTAATTAAAACTTAAAAGAAAAAATTTAAACACCAATAAACCATAAACAAATTTGATTATAGTCATTAAACAAATTATAAAATTCTTTAACACCAATATATATAGAAAACAGAAAGAGGAAAAAAAAAGAAACAAGAAGAAAAAAAAGAAAAAAAAGGTAATAATAATTATACTTCTAATTATACTTCTAAATAATATCTTGAACTTTAAATATAAATTATTCAAAAACTAAATAATATTTTTTATATCGTACTTATATTGTATGAAATTTATCCATCTTTTCCACACCAAAAAATACTTCTCTTGCGATTGCTCTTTCAAGAAAGCCGAAATCTTTGCCATTTCCGCTAAGTAGGAAACTTTAAAAAACCATTCTTGCAAGGTAGGCAAAGATTCCTTCTTCCAACACTGCCCTATTAACAACCTAGCCGCTGTAATTAAATTTAACATTAATGTAGTCTCTTTGTTATCACAATCCGAAACAATACCCAGCAAAAACAGTTGTGGGGTAAATTTTATCCTTTTAAAAATTCTTTGAATATTCCACCATATCTTAATCCAAAAAGCTTTTATGTTTTTACATGACCACCAAATATGATAATAAGTAGCATCCAAGCAACCACATCTCCAACATTTAGGCTGCAGGTTTGAATACATGCGAGACATTTTATGTGGGTCAAGGTGCCATCTATAAAACATTTTATAAAAATTTTCCCGTAAATTTTGGGCTTGTGTAAATTTAACATTCCTGACCCAAATAATCTCCCAAGTATCTAATGGAATCGGTTCATCAAAGTTTTGTGCCCATTTAACCATACAATCTTTAACTAATTCTGCTTCTGAGTCCAATTCCACTAACACCCCATAAATTCTTTTGATGTGGGTTCGACTTTGATCTCTAATTTGTTTTAACAAATTCTCATCCTGTCTAAGCAGACCCACATTATAATCTACATTTCCACCTATCCAATAGTTGTCTATACTGAAACCATGAATAAATAATATTTTCTTGTGCTAGCTCATCCATACGTTTTAATTGCCAATTTTTACCATCCCATCGAAGTAATTGTGCATAAGAAATACTATCCATCTTAACTCCTCTCCTTATCCCTTCTATCGCATGCCATGGGATAGCCCATAATGGAATTCTTGAATCACTTCTGTTGCGTCCTTGGCGGGAAAACAGACACAAGAAGCAGCTGGAGTTCTCAGTTTCTTTTATTCAGCGTTCAGCTTACAGGAAGATGGCTTCAGCCTCGCCCAAACGCCTCGCAGCCTCTTATATAGGCAACTCCCGGGTAAATGGGTTACTTTTCCCGCGCCAGCACCCGCGCATGCGCACGGCGCTGGCGACAGCCTGTCTGGTCCCGGGCAGCTTTGCACCTGCCCGGGACTGCCTGCAAACGCCCGAGCCGTTTGCAAAGGCTCGGGACATAACACCCCTTTCCCCCGGGCTAAAACTACTACCAACATACAACATTTATTTTATATGACATTTTGCTCCCCAGTGCTCCCACTGTTTACTGGCCTTTGCCTTGCCAGCAATGTTATGTAGTCTTCTAGGTACTTAGGAGATTTCTTTGCTCTCTGTGACCTTCTTAGCTGTGGGTTACTGGCATAAGTCCCCTGACTGGAGGGAGGCGTGAGCCTGTTCTCTCTATTGTGCCCTGGTGTCTTCCAAGGACTGTGCCCCGATGCCTGGCCTGCTTGCTTGCCCACCGGGCTCGTCAGGCCAGGGCTTCTGTTACTTTGTGACCTGGTTGACCTACCTAGCTGTAGACCCTCAGGCCCCTTGAAGTGATAGCGCTGCTGGGCGTCTCTGTAGAACCTCCTAGGTCAGTCCAAGACCTGTCAGGAGGCTGTCCATTCCCTGAACCCCATTCTGTGCTCGGGCTCGTGTGGGTTTCTGTACTTCCCCAAAACTCAGGTGTTCCCTGATTTGTGCTAGGGGTGTTGTAGTCGGGACTTGGTTCCTCGACTAGCTCTGTGTATGTTTGACCCCCTGTAGGATTTGGGGTAAGGTCAGGCCAACTTTGGGGATTGTGTGCCAGCTCTCTTGCGGGGAATGATTTGTTGGGATGCCCCGGGTATCCTCCGTGACTGGAGTGCTGTGTGACGTGTGTGGAACGTGAGTATGCCCCCGGGGTGACTCCCTGGCTGGAGTAGGCGTGAGTGCCTGTTGTGTGGGTAAGCTCCATGACTTCCTTTTCGGAGCAATTGCGGAATCTGGGGACGGGCCGTTTGTGGCTCCCTCAGTGGAGATGGGCAGTAACTCTTGCCCTTCCCTTTGCTCCAAAGGGTCCCCCTCCCCCCCTGGAAAAGACCCAGGAGTCTCAGCAGAAAAGTCTCGCCTAGAGCGAAGTTGGTCGATGTGCCGACGTAGGACACGACCGTTGTCCAGGGCAACCTCGTAGGAGAGAGGACCTGTGATCCTGGACACAGAAGCGGGGACCCATGTATGACCAGGCCCGTAATTGCGAGCCCAAACCGGGGCACCCACAAGTAGTCGTCTAGGTGCCCTAGGATGTGAGGTAGATGAAGGCAGTCTGTCCGGATGCAACCGATCAAGTCTAGTAGTAAGTTGGCGCCCCCAACGAAGTTCAGCTGGACTTCTCCCTGTAGAAGTGGACGGTGTGGTGCGATAAGAAAGGAGAAAGTCAGCCAACCTGTGATGCCAGTCCCCGTAGGTGAGTCTCTTCAAGGCGTCCTTTGCGATGCGCACCATGCGTTCCGCCATACCGTTGGTGGACGGGTGAAAAGGCGCAGACGTGGCATGACGAATCAGGTTTGCCTGTAAGAAAGCTTGGAATTCGGAGGAGGTGAATTGAGGGCCGTTGTCGGACACAATGACATCTGGCAGCCCGTGTGCAGCAAAAATCCCCCTCAGTACCTGAATAGTCTTTGCAGTGGTGGTGGATGAGACAGGCACAACCTCAAGCCAT